CTAAACGTTATGGTCTTGTTCAAATGTGCCCTTTTCAGAGAACTGCTCCTCACTGTCACTCTTTATCATTCTACCCGGTTGTATTTCCATAGCATTTTTTCTGTGTGACATTTATTTTAATGTCTGTCCTTTCACTCTTCCAAGTAAAATGGAAGTCCCATGAGAGTAGGGACTTCATTCATCCCTTTATCTCTAGTATCTAGCACTCCTAAAGGTATGCAATAGTTATTTGTTGAGTGAAATATATTTTTAAAAAAGCTATAGGAGTTTCTACTTCACCTGTCAGGCACATTTCTAGTTTAGGTCTAAAATCAGGTCAGTGTGGATAGAGACCAAAAGGGATTTGAGAGTTAAGACCCAGTAGTTCAAAGAGGGCAGAGTAAGGAAAACTAGACAACCCAATCTTTCTATTTTTTGACCTCAGTTTCCTGAAAGCTACTCAGACTGAACTTGATGTCAGTCCAATTCTACTAGCCCTTCAAATGACTATATTTGCTTTCTCTTTCCAAGGTGCTGAATGGCTATTTCTGTTTTTATAAATCTTATTATGTATATGCTTTCTGTTGAAAGCAAGTTCAAAATATTTTTTGGAATAAGCAGGAAATGCCTCCGTGTTGTTCTCTTGTATATTATTGCACTCCTTAGGTGTTAGTCCGTGGTGGCAGTCAGGCCAGGGGCTTGAATTTGGCTGGGGCAGTGATGGGGTGTTGGGTAGGGAGGCGGGTCTCCTGCTGCTTTGTGGTATGGTGTTTTTTTGTTTTTGTTTTTGGTATTGACTCTCTTTTTTGTTCTGGCGCTCCAAAAGAAACCTTTATTTCCTAGGATAGGGTTTCCTGGAATTCCTAGATTACACCAGGTTGAAGTCTTTAGTAGAGCATGCCATAACTTGTTGAAATCTAGTTGGCCTCACTTCTCCAGACTTCCCAAGGTGTAATGGGAAACTAAATGGAAGAAATAAAACTCTTTTCCTGCTTGGGTTACTTCTCTTACTTTTCATACTATCTTGGAAGGTTTTCTGTTTACTTTCCTTTGATTTCATTCTTCTGTAATGTTTTGCTTTTTCTATTACTATGAAGCTTATTAGCAGTAGCTGTATCTGTTGTAGTGGTTAGTAATATCATTGTGGAGTCAGATTGCCTCCAGAATGAGCTCTGGTTTTCCAAGTAACCACTTGGATGACCTTTTCCAAATTACTTAACCTCAGTGTGCCTCAGAGAGGCACATATGTAAAATCTATGAAATATAAATCTTTAAAATGGAAGTAATAATAGTACCTACCTCACAGGGTTGTTACAAGGTTGAAATGAGTTCATACCTATTGAGTGCTTCTAAGTTTCTGGCCACAGTTTTTTTTTTTGTTTTTTTTAAAAATATATCTTTATTGATTTCAGAGAGAGGAAAGGAGAGGGAGAGAGAGAGATAGAAGCATCAATGATGATAGAGTCATTGATCGAGCCCACAACCGGGCATGTGCCCTGACCAGGAATTGAACCCTGATCGCCTGGATCCTAGGTCGATGCTCAACCACTGAGCCATGCCTGGCTGGGCTGGCCACAGTTTTCAGTACATGTTATTGAATATTATTATTGTTAGTGCTTACTTAACTTTGTGGGTAGTACTTGCAACGAAGTGCTGGTGGCCAAACTAGTAAACTTTTTCTGGCAAATCATTACTTTGGATTAGCCTGCCTAGTAACTTATAAAGGATGACTTTAGGACCTTGGAAAGTCTGAGGTGTCAGGACAGAACTTGTATCAGTAACTTCTTGTTTTCCTTTAACTCTTGGCTTAAGTTTTATAATCTACCTGTAAGATCCCGTCTTTATCTTTATAATCAATTTATCTTCTTTTCTATGTTCTTTTTGGCCTTTTTGTCAAATTCTGGCAACTGAATGTATTTATAGCCTTCCTGTGAAGATGATAAAGAGTGGTGCCTAACACTTGCACCCTTACTCTGCTGTGAGTGACTTCCATTCTGGGAGGTTGGGGAGGCCCCCATACCACTTCTTGCTCCTTGATTATGTAAACAGAACTACAGCATGGAACTTTCTTGCTTCACACCAAATCATTAGCAGAGAAAAAAATTATTTTAAATCTTCAAACACAACTCTCATGTATATTTAGGGGCAGCTCCCAATTTTGGGGAACAAACCTGTACACATATCATTGGGAATTTGGAGAAAGTAAGGAAGGGAGAGGGAAAAGATGGTGTGAGCAAGGGTGTGCCAGGGTGTTCTCGAATTTCTGTGTCAGGTCAACTTTAGAGGTCTGGGGCTTAGTGAATAGTTACTTACCAAATCTTTCCGTTAAGACAGAACTTAGGATGAGTTTCTCCGGTGTTCTTGTGTATTAACTCCTCTCATATTACACTTTCCCTCAAAATTCTGCAGGACATTTAAGCTACATGATGGCTTTGCTCCACAGAAAAAACTTTAAAAGGCTAGACTCAGACTTGCCAAACAAGTAAACTAAAAAATAAGATTTTAGATACCCCCCAATCCCAAAGTATTGTGACTTCTTGTTTTCCTGGGGTAGATAGAAACTCATTAATTAACACTTTTAACAATACAAATCTTTAAGGCAAGTAGAATCGGTTCATTTCTTACTTTGCTCAATGTGAACAATTTGGACCTGTTCCCTCTGTGTGGATCTCCAAAGGGGGAAAATCCTTGGAAAAGAGATTTGCAAATATTTTCAGTGTTAAATGGAGTCAGGTAGCTCTGTGCATTCTTTCCTATGGGCGTGCACCTTCAGTTAACTATGCACAGAAGAGACCAGAAGGTGTGCAGGGGTGGAGGCAGGTCCCAAGCTGACAGAGAGATTTGTTATCAGCATGGATGGAGACAAGAAAGCTGTTTGTTCCTCATTCCAAGTGTCAGACCACTGACCTCTGACTATCACCATACTCTCCCTGATGACATCAAGCTGGCCTGTTGTTTGTTGGGGGGATCAACCATGTCAGCAAACTTTTGGTCATGTCAGTGAATACTGTTTTAGCTCTTTCTTTTTCAGTTTTATGGCAGTGGTTCCTAAAAAGCAGGAGGGGAGAACAAGAGATCTGCCCAGCATACTTGTCCCAGATCCTTCGTATCTACAATAATCGCTTTAAGAGGTAGTCACAGTCCAAGCCAAAATAAATTTTCCTCCTGACAGATAGCTTATCTATTGCAAAGAGCTAAATTTTCTGAGATTCCTCTCCTGCTTGCAGCTGCTCTTAAAAGGTTAGATAACATACTAACTCTAAGAGTTATCCAGCGCACAGGAGGAAAGGAATTGCTTGCCTGACTCAACTGGCCTCTTGCATCTCTTGAAGGGAGAATTAATAAACAAAGTTGCGTGACCCTTTGAAGGCACATTTGCAATGCATACCATGGCAGTGATAAAAAGACAACAGTAACCCTAAGTGCTAGCTGATTCTTGGACTATTAAGAAATAAAATTCAGAAAAAATTTAAAATTTTAATCAGTTATTTTAAAATGCCTTCTACTTTAATATGATTGACTACATGTAACTTTGGTAATTTAGATGTTTAAAGACACTTAATAGACTAGTTTTGAACTTCTAGTTTTGAGACCATTTGGGCTTATTCCTTCACTGTATAAAAAATGGAAAATGATTACTTGAGAGTTCATCTTTTTTAAAAGTTCAACCTGTTAACATGAGGCAAGTTTAATACAGTTTCAGCACAGAATTTTGTGTACTGCTACTGCTTGAAGGAGCCTTTGGGACTGCCCAAGGAAATTATCTAAAGTGTCTATGTCTACGGAACCTCAAATTGGCTTCTTAAATGCAAATTTGAGTTTCAAAGTGGGACTGTGCTGTTTGGTCTTTGAGGTCCTGACAGAGACATACATTTTCCTTAGTTAAGAAGAAATTTGAAGACAACCAGAGTCATTATGAAAACAATCTTTAATGAAAAAAAAGTCAAACCAAGAAAGATATCATATTTCTGAGGAGGGTATTAAAAGATCATAAAAGGCAGAATTTCAAAATATTTTTAAAACTTTTAACTAAAAATTCACTTGTGATAACTCAATGACAATATTGAGCATTTCTTGAGCACATTAAGTAAGGACCTAGTTCCTGAGTTGAGGATTCTAAAGTGAGTAAGGCAGGATCCTTGTTCTCACAGGGTTTTATTATGTCATAGGGGAAACATAAACAACAGAGAGAATGAAGCCTATAGTTGGGGATCACAAGAAATACATGTTCCAAGTCTGGGGATGCACAACGGAGAGACTGACAGCATGTTTTTCCTGCAAGGGACATTCTGACTTTTCCATTGCACCCTAGATAACCAGGGTTATGCATCTGGCTAATAGAAGTGAGCTGACTATATGCACATAACATAGCAACAATTTTTGTTCTTGTAGAGCTCATCACTCTTTTCAGAGTGCTTTGCTAGACATTGTCTTTTGAGGTTCTTTGTCCTGTGAAGTAAATTATCTAAATGTATGGATAAGGAGGTGGTGACGTAGAGGGGATAGGCAACTCTGAGTAAGAATCAATAGCTACTGAGTAGTACTCCAGGTCCCAGGTCTCCTGACTTCTAGGCCTCCTTTCTTTCCATGACCCTCCAGCGAAAGAAATGGTCCTTCATCTTCCAAAGCATGTGTAGTGGTACATTAGTTTCCTAGGATGTTATTTGTATTACGTAAAAGAAGGTTCGATTTTGAAATAAGTTAGATCCACTCTCATTCTTCACCTCTGAGCTCACAAGTAAGTCAGTTCTTCAGGGGAGACGTCCCTGGGCTCCCAGACCCCCTACTGTGCACGCTCACAGCTCTCTGTAACTCCCACATCAGCACGTAACCCAGTTTGTAATTAGCTATTTGTGTCATTATTTGATCAATGTCTCTTTCCCTGTCCAACCATAATCTCCATGAGGCCAACTGTAATCTCCATGTCTCTTGTTTACCAATATATGCTCAGCATTTAATGTCTAGCATTTGTTATAGGAATGTCTTAATTTAAGGTTTGTGTACTATTTCCATCCCTTTAGGATACCCAACATGTGAGCAGCTTACTTGTGCCAACGGAGCCTGCTATAACATTAGTCAGAGATGTGATCATAAAGTTGACTGCAGGGACTTCTCCGATGAAGACAACTGCAGTAAGTAACGTGCATGAGATATCCTGAAGCTGGCTTCTGCTGGCCAGTTGTGCATATCCCTTCTCAAGTTCGTGTACAATGAATTCATCGTGGTAACCTGAAGTCAGCCATGGTGGGAGTATTTACATTGTGGAAACTGGCAAACACTCTAAGTCAGGGCCTTTTTGTCCTTGGAGAACTGTTTTTTTAAGCGTTTCCCAGCATATTACTGCATAATAAGAATTGCTTTTTACACATGAGACAGAATCTTCGTATGAGATTAAATGGCTTCATTAGAACTGAAATTCTCTCTTTTCTTTCCCTTGTTAACCTCGTGTCCCAGCTGAAGTATGTTCCCGCCACCAGTTTCAGTGTGGCAGCGGCGAGTGCCTCTCTCATGACTACGTCTGTGACCATATCCCAGACTGTGAAGATGGCAGTGATGAACATTCTTGCAGTACGGTGATTTCCTTATGCCGGTCGTGTTGTTAAGAGTGTTCCCCGCCCCCAACCAATGTATCACTCTTTTCAAACAAAAGGGTCACTCTATCTGATGGCAGATGGAGCCAGAAATTCATTGAGGGCCCATGGCATGAGCCTCAGCAGTGTTACTGAACCTGGGCTCCTTTATCTCCCAAAGATCTGTGTAGAGTTGAAGGGCTGCTGATGGACAGTTTGCATTCTTTCCTTAGGCCACAAGGGTACAGGGTGTGCTGTGTCACCGGACTCTCAGGTTACCCAGGCCTCAGGAATGGCTCTGATGACCTGGAGAGTCGACTGAGAGGAGGGAAAGTTCCTAATACCAATGGTCCTAACTTTCCTCTTTACTTTACAATTCTTACCACATTGAAATTGGAAGGTCGGGAAAGTTTCATTGTGATGCAGGGGGCTTTCTTGGCTTCCACTTTTCCACTCTGATTCTACTCTTCCTTCCATGCTGTTGCGTGCCATGCAAACCATCTCTCTTATTGTTGCCACCTATAGACTAATTTTATTGGAATATGTAGCTTGAAGTCTCTGTGAGAGTGTTTTACTAATTCCAATAAATTTCCAGCTTTTTGTGGTCATTTATTTACTAGAATGTATGATTTTTCTCCACACCCATTTTGATGGGTTAGCACCCATGCCCTAGGGGCCATTCAGTATTTTCAATATCACCCTAATTTTCTATGAGCCATGCCTGATTTCTTTTCTGGGACCCGGGCTTATTTCAGAGACCTTATTAAAGAGAATGTGACATCATAGAGAGGGTGACTGAGAGTCATTTGGCCCTAAATAGCAGCGACAGTGCTTATGGTAAAGTAGGAGAATGTTGGACATCGGCATGTCTGTAGCGTCTTTATCAGTCCGCATTCTCTGTTGTGTCAACCTATAGCATACTATCTTATTTTTAAAAAAATGTATCTTTACTGATTTCAGAGAGAGGAAGGGAGAGGGAGAGAGAAACATTAATGGTAAGAGAGTCATTGATCAGCTGCCTCTTACCTCCCGCACGCCCCCCACTGGGGATCGAGCCTGAAAACCACAACCCGGGCATGTGCCCTGACTGGGAATTGGACTGCTATCTCCTGGATCCTAGGTCAATGCTCAACCGCTGAGCCACACCAGCCCACCCATACTGTCTTATTTATCATCTTGAGAAACATAGACCAGCACCTGAGTTCATCTCCTGGGCCCAGAGCTGCTCTTTCCTCCCTCTCTTCCTCCGTGTTTTCCTTTTTGTCAAGATGCTTGAGGGACTCAGCTGGTGCAGACGGTTCAGGTGCAGGGGCCCTGTTGGGGAAGCGGGGCGGGCGCCCCGGGGTCCCCGAGGGCTCTGTGTCTTTGGAGTGCAGCTGTGCTTTGTTTCCAGACTACGCGACCTGCAGAGGCAATCAGTTCACGTGCCCCAATGGCCACTGCATTAATCAAAACTGGGTCTGTGATGGAGAAGATGACTGCACAGATAATGGAGATGAAGATGGATGTGGTAAGGGATTCTGAATGAAAAGCATTTTCTTTAAGTGTTTTCCTGAATTTGTTTTTTCTGCTTTTTTTGTTAGACATGATCTGTGTGTCCAGCAAGCCTCAGGATTGTCCGGGATTTAAGGGATTCGTGGGAGGGGAAGAAGGTGACTCCACTAGCTTTTCCTAAAAAGAGCCAGAACTCCAATACAGCAAAAATTATAATCTCCTCCCTTCAATTATTAAGGCAAAATAGGTAGGGTAGCCTCTCCCCTTTTGGTAGCTCACTGTTCCCCTGTAAGGCTGCTTATTTTACTAGATTTATCTATAGCAAAGAAATAGGATGGGGAAGGAGAGAAAAGAGGGGAGAATGTGATTTGTCTTAGATCTAACCTTTAAAAATGACTTGAATCTTGGTAAAAGTTCAGTTCAGTTTTGTTTTTTCCCCCCAAATTCTGACTTCCAAATAACGAGTGACTGATATCCAGTGGTAGAGAAGCCACAGAGGGAACATGAGACATGGAGCTAGAGGCTGGTATTTGCAGGAGGGGCTGCTGTCCAGAGAAGCATTTAAAGGTTCTATGAGAAGGAAACTGCCGATAACTGTCACCCTCTTCACTCTCAGCACCTCTAATAGTTCAGAAGGTATTAACACCCACACCACAGAGCAAGTTACTCCTGCTGCTTCAGCCCCAGGTATAAGAAGAGTGGTGCTTATTCTGGGCAGTCCATTGGTGTCACATTTCAGTGCTCCAACAAGTAGTCTTCCTGCCTTTGAGTTATAGTTTTTCTTACACTGTTGACTTTTCACTCAGGAAACAAAGCAAATAACCAAAAAAGACAAACAGGGGAACAAAATAAAAACTCAGGAATCCGGGTGTTACTTCAATAGCCCTACCTCTGTAATTCGTAATTTAAGTAACCGAATCTTCTTCTAGGGGTTATTCATCTAATTTGTTGATAATTCAGACCCATATCTGCATCTTACTTCTATAACCCGGTGGGGGGCTGCCTCCCCCAGAAAGAGTGAAACTTAACTCTTCCTTAGAAGCTCAATAAAAGTCCACTGGTAGAGTTAGAAACTACTAGTTTATTGTAAAATATAAGTCATTTGTAGGCTTCTACCTGATCTACATTCTCTCTTAACCATGGGTTAAGAAAGAGCTGGCTCCACTTCTCATGTGGCTGTAACTTTCTCTCCCCTCCCACAGAAAGCAGCCCTCATCATTTTCATCAATGCTACCCAGGTGAATGGGCTTGTCCAAAGTCTGGAAAATGCATCCCAATTACAAAAGTCTGTGATGGAACTTTCGATTGTCCATCAGGAGAAGATGAAGGCAATGCCACTGTACAACGACATTGTGGTGAGTATGGAAACTTATCTGGGTATCTTTCAGATAAATATGCTTCTTTTCTTTTATAACAGAATCCCAAATATAGAGATTATCCATTGGTGTCTATGTAACGAACTATCCCAATATGTAGCAGCTTAAACCAGCAAATCTTTATTATTTCTCACAGTTCTGTGGGTTAGCTGGGTAGTTCTGACCTAGACCCGCTCACTTCCCTGCTAGGATGTTGAGATAAAAGCTCTGGCTAGTCCAGGCTTGTTTACATGGTAGTTGAAAAGGCAAACCCTAGTGCACAAGCTCTTTGAAGCTTCTGCACATGTCATGTCTTTGCTAAATGTCTTATTGGCCAAAGCAAGTTACTTGGTTAAGTACAGATTGAATGGATTGAAGAAATAGGCTCTATCTCTTGATGTGTGTGTGTGTGTGTGTGTGTGTGTGTGTGTGTGTGTAGGCGGGGGGTACTTCAAATATTTGTGGCTTTTTTCCTCCTTCTACCTAGAAAGAATAATTTTAATGGCAATTTAGATTAATCTAAAGGAGATTTTATTCCCTTGCTTATAATTGTGGAAAATGTCTTGCCTGGCTATACTCAAAAAGGAAGTTTTTGCTTCCTGGGATATACACCTTGAGTTAGTTTTTTCTTTTCTTCTTTTTCTGTGGATGTAGAATATTCACCCCACCATCAACCCATCAACATTGTGGACAGCTGACTGTCCTGTAAGAGAATAACAATTTATGACCTTGATTTCATCAGTGGTACACTTGAAATTATCTAGTACTTGCCTGGAAGTGACTATATACCTGTAACCTTAAGGTCTTTTTTTGTTTTTTCTTGAAAAAACTTGTGATATTTATATATATGCAAAGACTTACATGGCATTCTTTCCCCCCCACCATTTCATTTAGGAGCCCTTTTTGAAAAGCTTTAAAAATCAACAAGAGATATATAGTCCTAGTGCAAAATAAAAATAAATAGTACAAAACAAAATACAAAATAGAAAATAAAATTGACACAGAAAAAAAAATAGCCACCTGAAATTCTATCCCTTGAAGCTAGCAATAGTTAATGTTTTTGGTGTTATTTTCAATTCGGCCACTTGGGAGTTCTTGACCCCTTTTATTATGTAGACTTGTCCATAGTTATAACTTTAAAAATAACTTTTAAAAAATATGAATTGAACTTTTGTACCATAATATTGTAGTAAGGCTTGAATGGTGACAAATTTTCTGCACATGAAAAAAATAGCACTTACTTTATAGGTAAATGAGTCTTTTTTTTTTTTTTTTTTTTGGTACATGAGTCTTGTTCAGAGATGACCATTAATTTATTTTTAATTTTAATTTTAATTTACTTTTTTCCATCACCATGAGATGACCATTCATTTAACAAAGTGTTTTCCTCTGTTTAGATGTGACTTTGTGTCCTTTATTGGGCTGTGAGTATCAATGCCACATTGCACCATATGGAGGGGCGTGTTATTGTCCTCCAGGTTATGTCGTCGACCAAAATAACACCCGTAAATGTGTCGGTAAGTGACAGGTGGGAGCACTTGGTCTTTCATCACAGTGCTTAGCACACTGATGGGGTCTATGATCTTTGACAAAGAGGAGTTTGTGCTTGTGATGGTCCATATAACAAAGGGCAGCATAATCCTCACAGAAAACCTGGATAATATGGAGTTTTAACTGAGAAGTTTTTGTGAGGTGCACAAGGCAAAACTGGTTCTGTGATGAGTGAGTTGACTGGCTGCATGGATACCTGTCTACTACCTGATGATGGAGACAGTCTTTTGTGTGTGTGTTTTTTTTAAGAATTTGGATGCAAGGTTGGTACGGCCATACTGGTTGTTAAATACTGAAATACTTCCATGTGGTTGGTATGTAGCTGTTGCTTTCAGCCCCATAATGTACCCTGCCCTGCTCCCCTGGCCTCTTCCTCAGTATGCTCAAACCTCCCCTGAGTCCAGCAACTAAAGAGTGGTGCACAGCAGAAGATCACTAGGTCACTGCTCCACTGACCACACTGGTCCATGCTGTGCTGGTTGGTAATCCCATTGATTACCTTTGATTTACCTTTACCTGAAGCTAACATTCAAGAACAAACTCTATCATGCGGCTCCCAGCTAATGGCTGGCGGTGAACTAGGCACAAGTGCACCAAATATTGTCCGCATCTGTCCTGTCTGAATTATAAGAATGCTTTCTTCCACTGGGCAATATTTGAATCTGATGTGAGCCAGCTGTGATTAGGACGGGGTCTTATGATGGGAGAAGTAAACATGGCCAAGTATCATTGATTTTCAGTTTTTTAGGATTTAAACATGAATTTTTAATGCTCTGATTTCTTTTTCCTTCTTTCTAATTTTTGATATGTGAACAACAAATGTAGTAGTAGAAAGTGACCACAAAGGTTTAACAGAAAACTGTTTTCTGGTGTTGGAAAAAGGCATCTGTAATGATTCATTAAAATTCATTTTCACAGGACATTTGTGTTCCTTTGATATTCCTTAGAAATTTGAGATTCTTTAGGACTTTCTGGATATAAACAAACATGGCATACATGAGAAATAGTTTTATAGAAGTGTCTCTTCTGAAATAATTTTGAAAATGTTAATATAATTTTGCCGAAAAGACTGAATTTGAATACATCCAATGAAGTTGTTCAGTCTTCAGTCTGAGCTCATGGCTGCAAACTTAATTATACTTTCATAATTATGGTTGATCTTAATAACTACTCATAGCTAGAAAAACTTTAAAAAATATGTCTTTATTGATTTCAGAGAGAGGAAGTGAGAGAGATAGAAACATCAATGATGAGAGTCATTGATCGGCTGCCTCCTCCATGCCCCCTACTGGGGATTTAGCCCATAACCCTGGCATGTGCCCTGACTGGGAATCGAACTTCGACCTCCTAGATCATAAGTTGATGCTCAACAGCTGAGCCACACCTGCCAGGCTGGAAAAACTTTTTTTTTTTTTTTAAATATATCTTTATTGATTTCAGAGAGAGGAAAGAAGAGGGAGAGAGAGAGATAGAAACATCAACGATGAGAGACTCATTGATCAGCTGCAGCCCGCAACCCGGGCATGTGCCCTGACCGGGAATTGAACCCTGATCGCCTGGATCCTAGGTCAACGCTCAACCGCTGTGCCACGCCTGGCCGGGCTAGAAAAACTAAAGCCAAAAATAAAGTCTTGTTTAACAAATTAATCTGGAAATCTTGAGAAAGTCTATTTCTCAGTGTTATTGAGAACTGTAATAATGGGGCTAATTTACCTGTCATATGCCAAGAAACACGGGATTTTTTTGTCCTATAAAACAATCCAATTGGGGTTGTCCTTGTGGTGTTCCAAGTGGGGAATTTTAGGTTTCTGATATCAGGGGCCATGTCCCAAAGTTTGCCCAGGATTTGATTGCTCCTCTTAACTATATTCAATGAGGCATTTTAAGATCAAGTGCTTTATGTAAGTCAGTGCGAGAGATCCTAAAGACTTAGAGAGAATGGAATTATTTAAGAAAGTCTGCAAATTTCTAACAATTAAAAAAAAAATTTATAAATAAAACATTATGATCTGTAAAACTCATTTTGTGTTTGGTCATTGTCACTCTCATTACATCGTGGATGCATTTAAGAAATTTAAAAATATTTTCCACAGGAATGTCCTCCTTTGTTGCGTGGCTTACTGACTTTGGAACCCCTGCTTGTGCTCCTTGGCATTGCTGTGAGGTCAGCTCATTGTGGGTAGAGGCTGCTCCTTTGTCTTTGGCAAATGTCAGCTTCTCTACCTCCCATTTACTGCCACCCAGCTGCCAATCCGACTTCTAGTCTTTCAGTTGTCCAGGCATTGCCTCTTTCTCTTAGTAGAAAAGGAATTCCAATAGAAATACCAGAAGCCACATTCTCAGTATTACATCAGCTTCAATTTCCAAAGAGGAGTTGGGGCTGGATCTCCTTGCAGTTGGAAATTGATGGGCCTTATGTCTTTTCAGTAAAAGTGATTTACTCTTTCAGGATCCTTAGCTCAGTCTTGTGATTCCCACAAGATCCTTAGTCTTTTTTTTTGTTTTTTTTTCTACCCTCAAGTCCAGATAGCACATTTTCCAACATCTTTCCCAATATCTAAGTCTGTGTTGAGCTTTAGGTTATATTTCCAACCATCTAGGGCTTCTCATATACCAGAGGTCTAGGCCACTTAATTTTTTTTGAATCCATAAAGAAATGAAAAACTGTCATAACAGACTTTTTACATTGAACCTATTAGTGAATGTAATACAGAAATTGCAATATTATGCACAAGGTAATTTCAGTATTTATAAAAAGCCTTCAGTTCATGGCACACTGGAAGCGGTGTGGTCTGATTCTGGGGCACTGGTTTCAAGTTCCATGGTGAACATCTTTCAGTTCCTTCAGTATGTGCCTGGGCACTTTAGTACAGATAACCTCATTTGGAGATCAGCTCAGAAGTCTACATTTTAGGGTCTTTGTGAATATGAGGCCCCTGCCACCTGCAGAGACCTTTTCTGAGACCTTCCTTGTCCTCCTAGAATGTATCTGTTGCCCATGAGTTTTGAAGCTGAGTTAACATTTATTTCAAAGAAGACTATATGTTGCTCTCTTTGTAAAGAGAACTCATTAGTGTCAATGCACGACTTTATGAAACCAGTCATGCTTATTTCATCTGAGCTTTCAAGAGAATTTCTTTGGTTTGCTCTTTCAAGCATTTTTTAAAAAAAGATATCTTTATTGATTTCAGGGAGAGGAAAAGAGAGGGATAGAGAGATAGAAACATCAATGATGAGAGAGCCATTGATCGGCTGCTTCCTGCACATCCCCGTCTAGGGATCAAGCCCTCAGCCTGGGCATGTGCCCTGACTGGGAATCGAACCCCGATCACCTGGATCCTAGGTCAATGTTCAACCTCTGAGCCACGCCCGGCCGGGCTCTTTCAAGCATTTTAATTTGACAAGTACTCTCTGTATGGCTGTCATCCTCTGCATGGTTGACTCATTACAGAGGCATCAGGTGTTGAAAACCTATGCAACATTTATCATCTTAGACATGGCTCCCTAGTGAATGCCTCAGTGATCATCAAGAATAAAATTGAATAATCCTGACACAAAATCTTGTGTCTTTTCACCATTCATTTGCTGCTGGTAGTCTTGACCTGGCGGTGTGCTGAAGCAGTTACAGGGTTATTGTTTCTGATTGACAGGACATGCTATTTGTTGATGGAATGACATCATGGTGCAGAGTTAGGGCAGAAAGGTCATTCAGCATGGTGGGATTTCACATAGCCAGATGGATCAGAGCTTGTCCAAGGGGGGTCTAAGCTAAAAAGGGATTTTTGAATTATTTTCAAACCAGTATTTGTTAGTTGGAGGGGACAAAGAATAAAAAGGAAAGAAAAGTAACAGGGTGGGAGGTGGGTTTTGTAAAGCAGTGTTTTAGTGTTTTATATAGTTTCCACTGCCTTCCTGTGCTCATGAAAATACTCAAGCTTACTTTCTTGTCTTCAGTTTAATTGACTATGGATATTAATTAGCTTTTATTTTTCTCCAAATGGAGAATATAGTTTTGTTCAGTCACCAAAAGTGACAGTGATTTTATACACTTGTTCTAACCTTTAAAGTACTTGTAGCCCAGGTGAGAGGAGCAGCATTTGCACCCTCAAAATCCTAGGCATGACTTTTCTACCTTTGGTTTTCTTCTCTTTGCCTGCTCCCAGGTGACTCCAGACCTTTAAGCATAGTCTCATCTGTCCTGCATTCCAAATGAGATCATGACATTCTGGAAGTTTGAGGGCGAATGTCCTGTACTTTCATTCCGACTGGGGCGAAGCCTCAGGTGCTGTTTTCTCAGGGCTGAGGTGAGGGCACAGAAGAGATAGATCAATGAAGGCTTTTTATTTATAGTCACATGTCCTTGTCATGTCCAAATTGGACCTTTTTTAAAAATTTTTTTTTTTAGTTACAATTTTTGGAAAGAAAAATAATGCTGGCCCATGTTGTTATATTTGGGAAAACTAGAGCCATTAGCTTATTCCCATGACTCTCTTGAGCTTTCTTGTTAAGGAGTCACGAGATGGGTCATCCAGCAGGTGTGGTAGAATCCAATTCACAACCCTGACATTTGTTGCAAATATAATCAGATCCTAGAAACCTGGAGGATTCTAGACCTGAGGGTAGAGTGATTTCAGGAATTCTAATTTACTTGAGAATTTTCTAAGCCCCAGAGCATGGGAACTTTGTTGGTGTAGGCTGTGGAGATCATCCTTCCAGGGAAGAGAGCAGGGTGAAGGAGGGTGAAGAATGGATGTGAACTTGGAGGGTCAAATGAAATATTTGACACCAGTCTACCAAGGATAGGACAACTTCTGCACCCCTTAAGATTTATAGTTTTTAAAAAAAGACTCTATAGCTTGTGCTGTTCTCCTGTTTATATTGTATTGTTTATAGGTCAATTATATTGAATCGGTTTATAAGGATATGTTTTTATTGAGAGACAGACAGACAGACATTGATCAGTTGCCTCCCATACGCAACCGGAAACCTTTTGGTGTATGGGACGACGCTCCAGTCAACTGAGCCACATGGCCAGGGCTTGGATCACTTTTTTACACAGAACTCTGGGACTACTATGGCATTGAACAGAGTTCTATCATGTAATGGACTTTCAATAGACAGTTATTAAATGAATAATAAATTAATAAGCAAAAGAGAAGATCTTTTTCATGTCTTAAAATAATTTAAATTTAATTTTAGTTATGATTTTTGACATCAGAAGAAAGGAAGCTGTGTAAATCGAACTTTCCAAATAGTTTATTGCAGTCACAGATTTGTGTTTTATTGAGGAGCTGGATGTAAAGCAGGTCTTACTTTATTCTGAAGTAGCAGTGTCCAGTAGAACTTTCTGCAATGACAGAAATGTTCTATATCTGTGCTCTTCAGTATGGCAACCACTAATCACATGTGGCTATTGAGCACTTGAAATGTTTCGGGTGTGACTGAAAAATTGGATTATGAATTTTAGTTAATTGTAGTTAATCTAAATATAGACCTAAGAAGCCACAGAGAACTAGTGACTACCATGTTGTAAAGCACAGTTTTAAAGGGAAGCATTTACATCAAAATTCAGATATTTTATAAACCAGCATTAATAAATGGAATGCAATACTACAGGGCTATGAATCCAAGCAGCGTTGTGCATCTTCTGTAAAGCTGTCTTCATGTAGATTTTAAAAAACCTTTTTAAATGCTCTTGGGCTTTCCCTACTGTAAAGATGCCTGTTCTGAATTACTATTTTTTATTGTATGCGTGGAATCTGTGCTACCTTCAGAGGGTATTTATTTATTTATTTATTTTTAAATATATATCTTTATTGATTTCAGAGAGAGGAAGGGAGAGGGAGAGAGAGAGATAGAAACATCAATCATGAGAGAGTCATTGATCGGCTGCAGCCCGAAGCCTGGGCATGTGCCCCCACCGGGAATCGAACCCCGATCGCCTGGATCTTAGGTTGACGCTCAACCACTGAGCCACACACGGCCAGGCAGAGGGTATTTATTTAGACAGGGTCATCACCATATTCCTGTATAGCTTGTCCAAGATTTTTTTAAGAGGGTGATCAAGAAATGTTAGTAAACATGACCGCAAATGTTTGTTTTCCATATGGTAGATTTTGACGATTGCCACGTATGGGGAGTTTGTGACCAGATGTGCGAAGATCGAATTGGCCATCACCAGTGCCACTGTGCAGAAGGGTATATCTTGGAGCATGAGCGGCATTGCAAAGCTAATACTTCCTGTGAGTAAAATAAGGACACTTGTATCTCTGAACAGTAAACTTGTGACTTTGATCCTCCTTCCACAGTAGATGACAAAAGAAAGAATAACATTTATGCAGATGGCAGAATTAGTCATCACAAATCAAGAGTGGCCGCTGCTGCCGTAAGAATGGGTCAACATGAACTTCACAGTTTGATGATTAAGGACTAATTTGTGAATTATGATGATCATTATTTTTATTGTTTTTATTTTTTGTTAATCCTCACCAGAAGATATTTTTTCTATTGACTTTTTTGTTTGTTTGGTTTTTTTGTTAGAGAGAGTGGAAGGGAGAAGGAGAGAGAGAAGCATTGATGTGACAGAGACACACTGATTGGTTGCCTCTTGCACGTGCCCCAACTTGGTCCAGGGATTGAACCTGCAACTGAGGCATGTGCCCTTAACCAGGAATCAAACCTGTGATCCTGCAGTCCGCGGGCTTACGTTCTAACTACTGAGCCAAACCGGCCAGGGCATGAATATCATCATTAATAATTTTTTGTTGCTGTTGGTTGCTTGTTCACTTTGGGCTTGGGCTATTACGTCATTCACCACATTTAATCATGGAATACATTTTATGCCTACATTTGACCTACTCGAGCATTTATCTTTTAATTAGTTTATATACCACAAATGTAGGCGACAGGTATCTGTAGAAATAATTTTGGTGTTGTTTATGCAAGATTTAGGGGTGAGTCAAAATAGACTTGCTAAATTTGGATTACAATTTGTGAGAATGCCCTCTTTCTGGGTGTTTTGTTGGAATCAATCTAAGAGTGCTATAGTAGAGAAAAGTTATGGGGAAAATCTGTTAAAAAAGATGGCACCCCCAAAGTATTTTTTGTCACCATGAATTTCTGGGGAAGGTTTCATCTTTATTCCTTTTCCATTTGTTTTTTCCCCCTACTTGATTTTTAAGTGCCGTTGGTGGCCTTCTGAAACTTACTTTTCTGCTCACATTATTGATGAATGGCTAGTTGTTTTGTGCAGAAATACCTGTTTTGCTGTGTATTAACTTTTAGGTACAGCTGATTCTTAAGAATTTATTTTTGAATAGATAATATATTCATATATTCAAAAATTTTTAATTATAAGAAGTAATTAAGTAGTAGAATACCTTCTCCATCTGTTCCCCTATGCCCAGTTTCCACTTCCACTCTCCCATGGATAATCACTGTTTATTTCAATTCTAGAGATTGTTAAATGCATAAGTAAGAATATACAAATATAGATATTTAACCCTATTTTTACATATATAGTAATAAGCTACACACACAGTCTGCATCTTGCTAATGTTACATAATATATTTTCAAGAGCTTTCCATATCAATGCAGAGAGCTCTTCCTCATTCTAGTAGTGGCATACTGGTGACATAATATTCCATTTTTTTGGATGTACATAATTTAACTAGTCCCTTATTCATGGACTATTATACTATTTGTTGTTGTTTTTTTTTAAAACTGAAAGTGTTTTAAAAGTTAAATTTATTGGGGTGACATTGGTTAATAAGATTATATAGGCTTCGAGTGCACATTTTTATGATACATGATCTGTATATTGTACTGTGTACCCACCACCCAAAGCCAAGTCATCTTTCGTCACCATATGTTTGACCCACTTTACCCCACCCCTTTCCCTCTGGTAACACCATGCTGTTGTCTGTGTCTATGAGTTTTTGTTTGTTTTTCTTTGCTGTTGCAAACAGGACTGTGATGGCTAACATTCATTTTGCCTGCTTGTGAGTGTATAGGTATAGCAGATATAGATCCACCATTGCCATGTTTTTCAGAGTGATTTCCCAGTAATTCTTTTTTAAATTTATCTTTATTGTTGAAAGTATTACAGGTGTCCCATTTTTGCCCCCCAAAGGATCACCTCCACTTTGCTCCCCCCGCCGAGGCCTTCACCCCCTTATGACTGTGTCCATGGGCTATTCATATATGCATATAACTTCTTTGGTTAATCTCTTCCCACCCTCCACCCCCCCTTCCCTCTTTCCTCTGAAATATGATCGTCTGTTGCCTGCATCAATGTCTCTGGATCTATTTAGTTCATCAGATTCTTTTGTTCATTAGCTTCTTGTTAAAGAATATCCTTCAACATTTCCTGTAGTGCTGGTCTGGTGGTGATGAACTCCTTTAGGTTTTTCTTATCTGTGAAGCTCTTTATCTGACCTTCAATTCTAAATGATAGCTTTGCTGGGTAGAGTAATCTTGGTTGTAGTTTCATGTTTTTCATCACTTTGAATATTTCTTGCCACTCCCTTCTGGCCTGCAAGTTTCTGTTGAGAAATCAGCTGATAGTCATATGGGTGCTCCCTTGTAGGTAACTAACTGCTTTTCTCTTGCTGCTTTTAAGATTCTCTCTTTGTCTTTAACCTTTGGCATTTTAATTATGATGTGTCTTGCTGTGGGCCTCTTTGGGTTCCTCTTGTTTGGGACCCTCTGTGCTTCCTGGACTTGTAAGTCTATTTCTTTCCCCAGGTAGGGGAAGTTTTCTGTAATTATTTTTTCAAATAGGTTTTCAATT